CCCCCATCCCTTTTCTCTCCGCTTCTAGCAACATAAACAAACTTATGGCTACTTACACCGCCATCGTATTGACTCGAACTCGTCGTTAGGAGTCAGTTACGGGGCATTTGAAATCTCTCACTGTGGGGTGACACCCCAGCCCGGGGTAGGGGGAGACGAGTTAAGGGACACGTACGAGGATGCCCTCGTGTCATAAAAGACCTATCCCGGGGTGTCGAGTCGTTTTGTGAATGACAGGAGACTATCGCCGATAGCTGGGAATAGTAGATTGCATGCAGGCTGCGATATAAAGCTGTCGCTGAGAAACTTTAAACCGGAGCTCGTCAGCAAACTGCAATATAATTCTATCGTTCTCACCACCTTCATCTTGACAATCGCCAAAAAGCGAGTGGACTTCTCAGCTCGTCCGCTGATGTACGGACCGAGACACCAACAACAAAAGTAATAATTGAAAAAAAAATACGCGAGGACAGAAGGCAGATCTGAGACTGTCACACGACAAGCGTGGACATTAAGCACCAACACGCAACAAGCACATGGGATGATGGAGCCCATCGCAGTCATCGGGCTGGCCTACCGTTTCCCTGGCGGTGCCGACTCGCCGGCCCGGCTGTGGGACGTGCTCACCAGCGGCCAGAACCTGTCCCGGGAGCCGGACCCGGACTCCCGCCTGAACTTGCGCAGGTTTCACTCCCCCGGCGACCCGGATCGCCACGGGTCCACCGACGTCACCAGCTCCTACTTTCTAGACGAGGACCCGTCCCGCTTCGACGCGGGCTTCTTCGGCGTCAGCCCTCTCGAGGCCGAGGCCATGGACCCCCAGCAGCGCCTGCTGCTCGAGACCGTCTACGAGGCCAGCGAGTCGGCGGGCTTGTCGCTGGCTTCGCTCAAGGGCTCGCGCTGTTCGGTTTTCGTCGGCGTCATGACCTCGGATTACCCCGAGATCCAGCTCAAGGATACCGAGGACCTGTCCATGTACACGGCCTCTGGCGCGTCAAGGGCGATATTGGCGAATCGCATATCCTACTTTTTCGACCTGCGAGGTTCGTCTGTCTGCCTGGATACCGCCTGCTCGTCCTCACTCGTCGCGTTGCACCTGGCCGTCCAAGATCTTCGCGGTGGCGGCGGCAAAGGCGGTGGCGGCGGCGGCGGCATGTCAGATATTGCCGTGGTGGCCGGGTCCAATCTCATTTTCGGCCCCGACGTCTACATAACCGAGTCGAAACTGCACATGTTGTCCCCGACCGGGACCTCAAAGATGTGGGACGAGGGCGCCGATGGATACGCCCGCGGCGAGGGGGTGGCCGCATTATTCCTCAAGCCCCTGAGCAAGGCCCTCCGGGATGGCGATCCGGTAGTCGGCCTGATTCGCGGGACAGGCGTGAACTCCGACGGTCGCACACCCGGTATCACGATGCCGAGCGCGACGGCCCAAGCTAGGTTGATACAGGAAACATATCGTGCGGCCGGGTTGGACCCGGACAAAGTGGAGGATCGTTGCCAATATTTTGAGGCGTAAGTCTTCCCAAAACGTAATCAGCGCGCGCGGATACTTATCCGCCTGACTGGGCCAGCTAACAAGAGTTGCCTTGGCACAGACACGGAACTGGGACAAAGGCCGGAGACCCAGTGGAAGCCAGGGGCATCTTCCAAGGTTTCTTTGAGGAGGCAGACCCAAGAAGAAAAAGAGGAAGAAGGCAAGCGCGCCGACGGCAGGGGGACAACAATGAACCATCACCGCTCCTTGTGGGGTCCATAAAAACTGTCATCGGCCATCTCGAAGGCTGCGCAGGTCTCGCTGGCGTCGTCAAGGTGCTACTGGCGATGAAAAAGGGTGTGGTGCCGCCGAACCAGCACCTCGAGAAGCTGAACCCGGAAATCGAGCCGCTGCGTGATTTCCTCCGCGTTCCTACGGAGCCGGTACCCTGGCCGCAGCCGGCCCCGGGCCAGCGAAAGCGTGCCAGTGTCAACAGCTTTGGGTTCGGCGGCACCAACGCCCACGTCATTGTCGAGTCGTACGAAGATGACAAACCGACGCAGGGCTCAGATGGACTAGTTGCCGAGGAGTCTCCACAAGAGCGCGGAGAAGAGCGCCTGACCGCTCCAATCGTTCTCAGCGCAAGCAGCCGAACGTCGCTGCTCAGGCGCGTGGAGCAAATAGCAGGTTACATCCGAGAAAATCCGCAGACCAGCTTGCGGGATCTCGCCTGGACTTTGCAAACACGACGCAGCGAGCTTGGACTCCGGGTCGCGATACCAGCCGCCACCAGGGATGGGCTCCTTGAAGAGCTGGATCACTTAGTCGAGGAAGCCAAGGGGTCCAAGCAACCTGCCATCGGGACACCCGCGCGGCAGCTTGTCTCGCCAGCCGAGGGCGTGGGCATACTAGGCATCTTCACCGGCCAAGGGGCCCAGTGGCCGGGAATGGGCCGCGAACTGCTGCTCCACAATGGCGTCTTCAGGAGGGCAGTACGGCTCTGTCAGGAAGCGCTCGCCGGTCTGCCTGACGCACCACAGTGGTCGCTGGAGGAGGAACTCCTCAAGGACGGGAGGACCACCAAAAGCCGCGTAGCCGAGGCCGAGATTGCGCAGCCAGCGACAACCGCTGTGGAGATAGGTCTTGTCGACGTGCTGCAATCTCATGGGGTGCGCTTCACCGCAGTCGTCGGCCACTCCTCTGGCGAAATAGCCGCACTCTACGCAGCCGGCATCCTGACCATGGGTGACGCCATTCGGATAGCCTACTACAGGGGCAAGTACGCGCACCTGGCTGGTAAGGGGTCAATGCTGGCCGCCGGCTTGTCGTGGGATGCGGCCCTCGAGCTCTGCAGGTCCGACCGGCGGTTCAAGGGCCGCGTGTGGCCGGCGGCCAAGAATTCGCCCTCGAGCGTTACGCTCTCGGGCGACGTGGAAGCCATCCAGGAGATGAACCAGGAGCTCCAGCGACTCAAGGTCTTCTCGCGGCCGCTGCACACCGACAAGGCGTACCACTCGCCACACATGCAGTCGTGTGCCGACGCGTACCTGGAAGCGATGAAGAGATGTCGCGTACGGCCCAAGCTGCCGTCCCGCTCGTGCGTGTGGGTGTCGAGCGTGGGCGGGACGGCTGAGAGCTACTGGGACGCGGCGCCCGAGGACCTGCAGGCTGCCCTGGCTGGTCAGTACTGGGTGGACAACATGGTCAAGCCCGTGCTCTTTGCGGATGCGGTGACTGCTGCTCTCACCAACGGCGGACCGTTCGATGCCGCCATCGAAGTTGGTCCGCATGCGGCACTCAAAGGCCCAGTGTCGCAGACAGTTCAGCCGCTGCTGAACAAGGAGCTTCCCTACAGGGGCGCCATGTCCCGTGGCGAGGACTGCGTTGAGGCTGTCTCTCAAGCGGTGGGCTTTCTGTGGACCAACTTCGGCTCCGCTGCCGTGCCCCGTTTCCCCGGAGCGGACAAGGAGTCTAGTGTCGGCGGCTTCAGCGACAAAACAGACAGAGACCGACAGTCCCCACCCCAAGTCCTCACCGACCTCCCATCCTACCCTTGGGATCACGACCGCTCATTCTGGCGAGAGTCGCGCATCTCGCGCAACAACCGGCTCCGCGGTCCATCCAAGCCTGATACGGCGCCGTCGCTCCTGGGACGCCGTTGCACAGACGACACAGACCAGGAGCCTCGGTGGCGCAACTTTCTCAGTCTCAAGGAGGTGCCCTGGCTACGAGGCCATTCGTTCCAGGGACAGGCACTGTTCCCTGCCGCTGGCTACATCGTCATGGTACTCGAGGCGGCTCAAGCTCTTGCTCAGGGGTCTGGCCGCCTGGGATCTGCTGCCACGTCGGCGTCTCTGGTCGAGATCGAGAATATGATCTTCGAGAGAACACTCAGCATCGGCGAGTCCCGACCGGTTGAGCTGATAACCTCGATGACGCTCAACAACAGTAGCGGAGATACGAATGGTCCCATAGCTGGGACAGTCTGCTTCCACATATGCTCAGACGCCAGCACTGGCGTCACCGAGAGGACTTGTTCCGGAAGCGTCAAAATCCTTCTCAGCCATGCCGACTCTGGGATCGATCAGGAGGTGCCACTGCCGCCTCGCGTTGTACCCAAGGCGGCCAAGACGCCAGTTGATGTCGAGAAGCTGTACTCAACCATCCGCGCAGGTGGCCTACAGTATGACGGTCGGTTCATGCGCATGGACTCGATGCACCGTGCAGCCGGTATCTCGACAGCGACTGCATCCTTTGACGCCGACGAGGCACGCTGGACGAATAAGCTCCCGCCACCCTTCTTGATAGACACGGGCTTCCAGGCACTTTTCGGTGCTCTGGCTGCGCCAACCACGGATCGGCTGTGGACCCCATACCTGGATCATGGCTTCGTGAAGCTCACGATCGACTTGCGACAAAAGATTGCCGCAAGATCCTCCTCGCCTGGTGAGAAAAGCCAAGTCAAGATGGTGACTGACGCACACATCACGTTGGCCACGGCCACCAGGGTTGAGGGTGACCTCAGTATCTACTTGCCCGCGTCGACGGGCAGAGGCGCCCCACTGTACACCCTTTGTCAGATCGAGGGCATGGCTCTTCAAGCGCTGCTCAAGCCCGACCCCTCCAACGACCGCCATGTGTTCAGCGAGACGATCTGGGAGCCGGAGATCATCGGCGGCGGCGACCTGATGACCGCCGACTATAGCCCGCCGCAGGAAGATCTCGTCCTTCTAGCTGAGCGTGTGGCGTTTTATATGCTTCGTGTTATCATAGAACAGGGGGAGGCCGTCGGCCCCGAGAGCCTGAAACGCCACGAGAGGCTGTTCGTTGAGCACGCGCGTCGGCAGCTGCGGCAGGCCCGCGACGGCGAGCTCTACCCCTACGACGCTGCCTGGGCTGAGGACGACTGCGATATTATCTATGAGATACTCGATCGATTCGCACCACAGCAAGTCGACTTTCGGCTGCTGCGGGCTGTGGGCGAAGAGGTCGGCGCCGTGTTCCGTGGCGAGCGGCAGATGCTCAAAGTGCTCTTCGCTGATGACATGCTCGGCGAGTTTTACCGAGTCGGTCTCGGGCTCCGAAATACGCAACGTCAGGTAGCGCGCTACATGCGCTCGATAACCCACCGGTTCCCAGGCGCCGACGTCCTCGAGCTTGGTGCGGGTACGGGGGCCACGACGGCTGCCATCTCCGAGGCTGTGGGCAACGATTGGTTCGGTTCCTACACTTTCACCGACGTGTCGGCTGGGTTCTTCCCCGATGCTCGTGAGCGTTTCTCGGGCCCTCGCTTCCAGCACCACCTGGACAGAATGGATTTCCGTCGCCTTGATATTACACTCCCCCTTGAGGAGCAGGGGTTCGACGGGACTCGACTTTACGACGTTATTGTCGCCGCTAATGTGCTTCACATCGCGCCAAACGTGGACACGGCGCTACGAAGGGTGCGGCAGCTCCTTCGCCCTGGGGGCTACCTTGTTGCTGTGGAGGCAACCTCGAAGCTCGCCCGGATCCAAGTCATTCTTGGTGGACTCGAGGGTTGGTGGCCGCCAGAGGATACCAAAGATGTGACCCCAAGGGATGGGTGTGTTCTCCTGTCGTCAGAGGACTGGGACGCACGCCTGGTAGACACAGGCTTCTCGGGGCTTGATGTCTTCCATGGCGACCAGCCTGACGTGCGCCTCCACACGTGCACCTCCTTCGTCAGTCAGGCGCTGGGAGGATCTGACGACGGCCGCATGAGTTGCCTGCGAGAACCTTTGCGCCACGTACCCTTGCTGTCGACAACGGGCTCGCTGCTGGTGATTGTCGGCGGCGCGACCATTGCCACCTCGCGACTGGTGCGGAACCTCGACAGTCACCTCTCCTCGCTTGGGCCCTGCCACTTGGTGCACATTCGGGACTTGAAGAGCCTGTCTGGCGCATCATCGGCCTCGCCAGTCCACTTTCCCGATGGCGCCAGCGTTCTTTGCTTGGCACATCTAGACCTGGCGGTATCGCACAAGACTGGGTCCGGTGGCGTGAATGCAACCTACCTCGGCGGAATGCAGACGCTGCTTGCCCGGGCGGGACGCGTCCTCTTCGTTACGCAGGGGGCATACTCGACGGACCCGATGGGTGCTATGCTGGTCGGGCTTCTGCGTTGTGCACGCTCGGAGCAACCTTCACTTGCGGTCCAGCTGCTGGACATCGAGTCCGACGCCAGGCCGTTGAGCCAGGACACAGGAGTCCTTCTTGAGCACTTCCTGCGCTTCGTCTTTGCTGGCCAGCAGCAGCAGCCAGATTCCGCTGGCGGCGACATCCTCTGGTCAACAGAGACTGAGCTTCTCTTGCGTGGAGGCAAGCTGTTCCTGCCACGCATTAGGCACGACGTGGAGCTCAATGAACGCGCCAACGCTCAGCGGCGCCCGATATCGAAGCTGGTCTCCAAAGACACGCAAATCGTCGAGGTGCGGGCTGCCTCGTCAGGTGATGTCGGGGCACCCGCTAGTATCGAATTGACAGCAGCTCCACGACTAGCCCGGGACGTCCGCGAAGGAGAGGCAGAGGTCGAAGTATCGCTGTCAACATTGCGGCCAGTGGTGGGACTCGGGTCCGGCCAGCAGCCGAGATATCTCTGTGCAGGAACTGTCAGTGGCTATGGCGATGGAGGTGCGCATCAGTCGGTGCTTGCCCTTGCCAAGACAAACGCGTCGCGGTTGCGCTTGTCCAATCAGGCGCTGGTCGATGCTGGCACAGGGGACACAACTCCTGAGGCTCTTGCCCTGGTTGCGGTCACATTGGTCGCACAAGCCTGGGTGGCATCTGTGGCACCAGGCCAGACCGTCTGGGTGCATGGCGACTGCGAATTTGGGGTCGAACCCGACGTTCTGATAGACCTTCTCCAGCGTGAGGCCAGCAAAAGGAGTGTGCAGATTGTCTGGACTGCACCCCTGGGGTCGGGCTCAAACCCCAAATCCTCCAACATCAACTCTCCCTCAAGTCCCATTCGCCTGCACACCCAAGCCCCAGTTCGAGTTATCAGAGACGCCCTCCCGAAAAAGGTCGCGGCACTTATTGTCACACAGAGCGAACATGGTAGCGATTTCGCAAAGCGAATGCAAGCCGCGCTGGGCCTCCGAGACGAGCTGTGCGGCGGCCTCTGGGCGCCTCCGGGCTCCTGGTGCGACGACAAGGAGGCGGCTCTTCGCCTGACCAACTCCCTGCATGCATCGAGGGCAGCAGTGGAGCAGGGAGCCGTGCACTTCACGACGATCACGTCAACACTCGAAGAGCTTGCTTCTACCTCTGGTGGCAATGTCGAGTCCGCTTGCAAAGCGCAGATCCTGGACTGGACATCATCGGCGCCCATCACCGCCAACATCCAACCCATCGATGCAACGGAGCTCTTCCGCCCGGACAGGACCTATCTGATGATCGGCCTGACCGGAGATCTAGGCCTGTCCATATGCGCGTGGATGATCCGCCAGGGCGTCCGGCACCTGCTTCTCTCCAGCCGAACCCCCAACATCGACGAGGACTGGCTGGCCGGCATGACCAGGCTCGGAGCCAAGGTCGTCGTAAAGCCTATGGATGTGGGCTCCTGGGAGAGCGTGCGCCACACCTTGGACGACGCGTTGGCCTGTATGCCGCCAGTGGCTGGCGTCTGCAACGGAGCTATGGTGCTCTCGGACGACCTCTTTTCCCGCATGAACGTAGCTACCGCTGTGGCCGCCATGCAGCCCAAGGTCGACGGCTCCTTGAACCTCGACCGATACTTCTCAACACCGGCTATGCAGCAACTCGACTTCTTTATGCTGTTTTCGTCGGTGGGAAGCATCATAGGCTTGCCCGGCCAGTCCAACTACCACATGGCGAACCTCTTCATGGCCACTCTGGCGGCAGACAGGCAGCGCAGGGGCCTTGTCGGGTCCGTCATCGACGTCGGTGTTATGTTAGATATCGGCTACATCACGCGCCAGAGCAAGTTCGTCCAGCGCAACATGCAGTCCATGAACGTCCTGGGCACCTGGGAGGAGGAGGTCCACCAGCTCTTTGCTGAGGGCGTGTTCGCCGGCATCCCCGGCAACACTCGCTCCTCCCCTGAGATCATCATGGGTCTGAAGGTCAGCGATAACCCAGCCGACCGCCCCTTCTGGGCCGCCGACCCTCGTCTGGCCTATTTTGTCAAGGATCGCACCAAGACCTTTGGTGAAACCGCCTCGGTCGACGGCCCCTCGTCGTCTCCATCTGCCTTGGAGGATTTGCGTACAACTCTCGCGTCCGAGGCCCCACTGGACGAAACGAGACTGTCCAGCCTCGTCAGAGCAGCCCTTTGCGCAAAACTGGAAAAGCTCTTGCAGTCATCCGCAGGCTCCTTGGACATGGGCAATGCGTTGGTCGGCATGGGTGTGGATTCGCTACTCGCCATGGAGGTACGCTCGTGGATCCTCAAGACTATTGGTGCGGAGGTACCCGTCCTTCAGATCCTAGGAGGCATCACTGGCGATGAGATCTGCCAGAATGTGGTGGATTCAGTGCTATCCAAGCGCCCAGGCTCGTCTACAGTCGCCTCGGAACACACGCGTCACCCAACTCCTACGCCACCTACTCGTGCTGCTACAGACACGCCCTCTCTTGCTAGCGAGGATCATACTCCGAGCAGCCAGGATTCCAGGTCACTCATGTCGTCCCCAGGAGGTCCGAATTTACCCGTGGGCCAAAGCGCAGATCTGACACCTCTGACTCTCGAATCTTCTCCCTTGGGCGACGATAGTGTCGACGCAGACACAGTCCACAAGAGGCTCGACTCTCTAACTGTCCCCGAGCTTCAGCGCCGATGTCCCATGTCTCTTGCTCAGGAGCGGATATGGTTTCTGCATGAATATCTCGAAGACCCCACGTCCTTCAACGAAACTGCTTGGTACGACGTCGAGGGACCACTAGACATCGATAGGCTGAAGAGTGCCTTTAACCAGTTGACTGCGCGGCACGAAATACTTCGGACGCGCCTATCTAATGACCCTATCACTGGACTTCCGGTGCAGACTGTCTGGTCGTCGTCGGCGTGCAAATTTCATCATGTCGACGCAAGGCAGGGGCGCCCTGGTTCCGACCATGAGGAGCAAGTGGTCGTTGAATTTGAGGCTCTCAAGTCCCACACCTGGAATCTCGAAGCTGGCGAGTGCTTTGGTCTGACTGTGGTGCGTCGTTCATCCCGCAAACACACCATCATAGCAGCCGCACATCACATCGCCGTCGATGGTCTGACGTGGGTGTTGCTCCTACGAGACCTGACCCACGCCTACAACCAGCCGGGCTCCCTAGCCCGCATGCCTCCTCCACGCCCCTATACCGACTTTGCTATGCGTCAGCGCGGCCTGGTTCCCAGCGGCGCCTTGGCTCCAGAGCTACAATTCTGGAAGCTCGAGCTGAAAGGTCTTCCCGAAGATCCGCTACCGCTCTTTCCGGGCTTGGCTCGAGTGCCCAGACGTGAGGCGACCAACGTCCTCCGCAGCCTTCCCGTCCAACGCAGGCTCGACCGAGACGCCGTGCTGACGATCAAGCGCGCAAGCAGTGCCCTTGCCGTAACTCCTTTTCACTTCCACCTTGCGGCACTCCGGGTCCTGGTTGGCCATCTCTCGGGGGCTTCCGACCTCTGCATTGGCACATGCGAGTCCGGCACGCTCGGTGACGATGCCTTCGCTGAAACAGTCGGTTTCTTCCTCAACATGGTTCCCATCCGACTCGCCTCGGGGGCGGACGACCAAGGCGAGACGTTTGGGTCTCTTTGCAAGCGCGCGTCTGCGCGAGCGATCGCGGCAATGACCCACTCACGAGCGCCGCTGGACGCTTTGCTCGAGGAGCTCCGCGTCGCCCGCTCGGCATGCTGTAGTCCGCTTTTCCAGGTTATTATCAACTACCGTCTCGGGGCGCTAGCCTACCCACCCCTAGGGTCGTCGCAGCTCGACTATGTCAAGTCACATCATTCTGCGAACCCTTACGACCTAGCCTTGACTGTCATGGATATGCCGAACGGAGCCTGTCAGGTCGAGTTGGCGGCTCAGGAGGCACTTTACAGCAGCGACGCGGCTAGCCGTATCCTCGACATGTACTGCCGCCTGGTGGATGATGCGTCGCGGCGACCCGACATTTCCACATTAGAACTGGCGATGGACTTCTGTGGCGTTCCACGTGCCAAATCTGGCGCTGTCGGGGCTGTCAAAAACGACTTTAGCAAGAGGCCAAGGACCCCAGCAAAGCCCGCCGGCAATGAATGGGCCGAGAGCATTAGTGGTCAAGTACAGGCAATTGCCAGACTCTACCCCAACGACGTCGCCGTCAAGGATGGCTGGGGGACAATGACCTACTCAGACCTCATACGAAAGTCCAGCACCATCGCCTCCACTTTGGAGGAGCTCGGAAGGAATGATACTGGAGTTAGGCATTGCTGCCTGCTGTTCCAGCCCTCAGCTGACTACATCACGTCCCTGCTTGGCGTGCTTGACTGCTCGGCAGTCGCAGTTCCCCTGGATACCAGACTACCCAAGGAAAGACTTCTCGCAATGGTCAAGGACTGTCGGGCGGCCACCATCATCCATCATAGAGACACCGCCGACGTCGCAAGTTGGCTGAGCTCGAGTTTCGACAATGTACCAAGAATCGACGTCTCGCGCCTGCGATTATCGGAATCCACGTCAACCACCTCCTTGAGACAGCCGGAAATGACCGCCCCCATGATCATGGTGTATACAAGCGGCACGACTGGGACGCCAAAAGGCGCCGTTCTAACTCAGGCCAATTACTGGTCCATCATCGAAGCCATTGCCAGGCGGATGAAAATGTACGGGACCGACGCCGGAAACACGGATAGCGGCGGTTACCGGCACACAATTCTGCAGCAAACATCTTTTGGTTTCGACCTAGCCATGATACCCATAGTTGTCGGTCTCTGCACAGGTGCCCGGCTAGTTGTGGCCACGGCTGAACAGCGGCGCGACCCCGCCGCTCTCACGTCTCTGGCTTTGCAAGAGAGAGTGACGATGCTCGCCGCCACCCCCACCGAGTTCGAGATGTGGTTCCGCCACGGATGGGAGGACCTGGTCCGCTGCAATACGCTCCGCACCGCTTGCGTTGCTGGCGAGGCGTTCCCGCGCCGACTGGCTGCCGAGTTCCACCGACTGGAAGAAGCCAGGGGCGGGAAAAGACTTGCGTTGTTCAATGTGTACGGGCCGACAGAGACAACGATAGCCAGCAACATCGGTCTGGTCGACTACTGGAACGTGCCCGAGGTTGGCCAAAAGGACAAGGCCCCCAGCGTGGGCGCCGACCACATCAGCGTGGGCCCTCCACTCCAGGGCGTCGAGGTCTACATTCTTGACGAGGATGGCCATCAGCTCCCGCCCGGCTCTGTCGGGGAGGTCTTCATCGGCGGCGCTGGTGTTGGCTTGGGCTACCTGGGCCGCCCTGACCTTACCAAAGCCGCATTTGTGTCGGACATGTTCATATCTGGCGAGGGTAAGAAGACGCCCATGATGTACCGCACGGGCGACTCTGGTGTTGTGCGGCCAGACGGATCGCTCGTCGTCCTGGGTCGCATCGACGGCGGGTCCCAGGTCAAGATCCGCGGCATCCGCATCGAGCTCGAAGACATATCCTCCACCATCTTGAGGGCCGCGCGAGGGAGGATCTCGCACGCCGTCGCAACCGTGCGCGGAGAGGAAAAAGCCATTGTCGCATTTGCCGTTCCCTCCGGGTCTGCTAATCACGGCGGAGAGGTGGACGGCGCGTATCTCGAGTCGCTTGCAGGTTCCCTACCTCTGCCCGAGTACATGCGTCCTGCCGCCATTCTGCAGATCGACAAACTTCCGACGAATCAGAATGGCAAGCTGGACAGAGAGGCCCTGGCCCGGATGCCATTGCCGACACACAAGAACCAAGCTATTCACAAGCCTCCAGTCACAAACTCTATGGTACACGTCGACCCCCGAAAACAACCCCAAGCAGCGTCTTCTCTCTCTTCCTTGGAGCTGGAAATCCTCGACGCATGGCAGCAGGTTCTGCCAGACGCGTTCCGACGATCCTCCGGGGAGGCCGGCCCAGAGTCGGACTTCTTCCGCATGGGTGGAAACTCTATGAGCCTCGTCTCCCTCCGCAACACCATCAGACAGCGCTGGCGAGCAGAAGTGCCACTCGTGCGCCTGTACGAGGGCAGCACTCTTCGGGATATGGCTACTATTCTCCACGACGTCAAGGAATCGAGTGACGGCGACGGCGTGGACTGGGAGTCGGAAACTCGGTTCGACCCGACCGCGCACCAAGAGGTTCTCACAAGGACCGCTGCGATGAACGGGCCCACGACAGGACTTATCAACGAGCGCTCTAGATGCAGCAATGGCAAGACAATCCTGATCACAGGAGCCACCATGCAACTGGGGGCGGAGCTGCTGAAGACTCTCCTGGCCCGCGACGATGTGGCCACGGTGCACTGCGTCGCAGTCCCGCCAGAGGAGGCTCTACAACTCACCAAGGTCGACGACACTCGCCGCACTATACAAGCGGCGATGAAGAGCAGGAGACTCTTCATACACGAGGGCTACCTTGACTCCGCCCATCTCGGCTTGTCGGACGAGGAGATACAGGTGCTGTTGAGGGATGTCGACGCGATTGTGCACGCCGGCGCACAGGGGTCCTGCCTGAACAACTACAACTCGATCCGGGACCAAAATGTAGGGTCTACAAAGTTCCTCGCAGCGCTCGGACTGGCGTGCCAAAAGGCGCCCAGCTTTCATCTCCTGTCAAGCGCGAGGGTCATTCTCTTCAGCGGCAAGGACGAGTACCCGGAGGAGTCGGTGTCGCAGTTTTACCCACCCAGAGGCGCCAGCATTTGCGGCGGCGGCGGCGGCGGCGGCGGCGGCAGCAAGTCGAGGGAGGGGTTCACGGCGACCAAGTGGGCGAGCGAACGGTTCCTGGAGAACTGCGCCGCGGCGACGACGCATCGCGAGGGGCGACGATGCATGGCCGCGGTCACGATACACAGGACCGGATATCTGATGTCGGACGCGGCCAGCGAGATGGACGCGGTTAACATGATTCATCGGTTCGCCGACAGGGTGGGGGCCGTGCCGGCCATGGATCGGTTCTCTGGGTTTTTGGACATGTGCGAGGTCGAGTGGGCCGCGGCGAGGATGGCGGATTCCATCGTCTCTCCAACTGCTGCTCTTTCAAGTGGGGCCGTCGCTGTCAGGTACACGCACCACACAAAGGGCGACGCGTTCCCGGTTGGGGGGTTTCACGCGCATCTGGAGCGCAAGCTGGGTAGGTCGCTCGATAGCCTAAGCATGGAGGAGTGGGCGGAGCGGGCGGAGCGGGCCGGCATGAGCCCGTTCCTGGCGAGCTTCCTGCGCGCCGTGTGCGAGAGCAGGGATGAGGCGCGGTACCCGAAGCTGCTGCTGGGTAGTGGCGAGGGCAAGGCGGCTGGAAGATGATTAGGTATGCTTGAAGGGCAAGGTGTGGATGGGAGGATGAAAGCTTGGAAATATGTATGGGAGGAACCTGGTTATAGACTAGAAGCTAGAGGGATCAACGGACGCGCGTGCATTTTCAAAGTCTTGGAATGGTATTTTTAACATCGACGAAACGAAAATTCCGTTGATCTTGGCGTAAGTACTTGCTCGCCCCTTCCTTTCACAGCAGCAAGCCCAAGCCCAGGTCCACGACCTCCAGTTGTTTGTAGCGTTGATAAGATACTACTAAAACGTAGTAAACGGTAAAAGAACGCTTGGCCAAAAGCAAAAAGGAGCAGAGGCATCCGTTTTTAAAGGCCTAGGATCCCACCTGCTTCCAGAATCTTTTAGTACTAAAACATATAAGGGCCAAACTAGTACTTGGGTAAGTAACCACTAGGGGAATTCTCGGTGTTGTGTGTTTTAGCTTTTTTTCTTTTTTTCCCTTTTTAGCTTTTTTTTTCGCTGGTGGGCCATGGAAAATACGGGGCTACAAAGTGAGACAAAATGAACTTTTTCTATCAGGAGATGGCGAAAGGAAATGCCGTGATATACGCCTGTTTGTTACCCATGTGCCACGCGCTATGTTGTTCCTAGACTAAGCGGAAAGGGTCGAGATAGACATTAAAAGATATTAGCCTGAACATTGCTGCTGCTCTTGCTCCCCCCTCCAGCCATTTTCGCCGCCAACAGCCAGACTGGCACTCTCGTAGCCATAGTAGCACTCATCACTAGCGTCCGATCCCTCCCCTTCCCCTCCGATGCGGATCCCGCTGGCGGAAAGATCGGCAACCAGCTTGCGCACAGCATCCTTCTCGGCCTGGAAGCGCAGGGAATCTATGGTGGCGCGCACACCGTAGGCGCAGACGACAAACTTTTCGTGCTCCTGAACGTTTGCGTCGATGCCGCCGCCGCGGTCCAGCTCTTCAAGGTCGAACGTGGCCGCGAACCAGTATATTGACTTGAGCGTCCCGGGAGTCTGGCTCTGCGGGTCGGGATACCTCACCACTCCGATGAACTCGTTGTTGAAGACGTCCGACGTCACGTCCGTGTCCGGGCTGCAGCACTGTGTGTGGCGGCGGCGAGATTCCGGGGATGCCTTGCCGTTGGCGGGAGTTGCTTGCTCGGTGCGTGGTGCAGCGGCACACTCGGTCACTACGGATTCGGCGTACATGCTGCTGCGGTCGCCAACACTGCCTGGTGCCGAGCCCCCACCACTTCCACCGGCTCCATCCTCGTTATTCACCGAAGGGGCCTTGGCGGATGCGGGCGGAGTGGGCATGTTACTGTCGTCAACACCGGCGGGAAGCTGCCGCTCACGGTGCTGACTCTGTTGCTCTAGGGGCGCAGCAGACGACCTGGTACACACTTTGAGGGGTAGTGGGCGGACCCGGACGCCCGACTCCTCGAGGGTCTCCCGGATGGCAGCGCCGATGTGACCCTCGCCAATCTGCTTTCGACCTTTGGGCAGCTGAGCAATGCCGAGCTTCTTGTTGTACAAGCTCAGAATACGGCCACGCCGCAGGTCGATAGCGACAGCACCACACGACACCGTCTGGCGCTCCGAGGGAGTGAAGAACATGGTACGATCGATCTCATCCATGTCGAGCCCACCGTGATCGTGTTGGCCCTTGGGTTTATGGTGACTCTTGGCTATAGTGTTGGTAGTGCGTGGGGAGTCGAGGGCGGCCTCCCTTGATGCTGCTGCTGAGTCGGGATCATCGTTGGGTAGATTTGAAGGTGGCATAGTCTGGCAGTTGACGTATATGTTCTCCTGCGGATCCAGGAGGATGCGGCTGACAGATAACATTGTGGATGGATGGATACGGTGTAATACTGAAACAGGCTAATGGCCGGTAGGGCGGCGACGCTGAGCAGCGGTGATACCGGGTTCGTGGTTGAGCTAGTGAGTGAGTGGTGTGTGGCGATGAACCTTTTGGGAGGCCAGCGCGGCCGTTTTGGCAGTAGATCCACGGAAGGGGACAGAAGTATGGGAAATGGTAAGTAAGGTTGGAGGTGTGGGCTACGATGAGGTTGGTGGGGGGTGGTGTGGGTTTATTTCTCTGGCCTGCAGTGGGATCTTCTTTGCTTTGTTTTTGCCTTAGTTTTGTTGCAAGTAGGATCTCTGCTACTTGACATGGCATAAGACAACAAAGGCGAGAAGTGGATGTGCAGAGGGTGGAAGACGGAGAGAAATATATACCTGTTCTGGCAGTCCTACCGTCAGCCGGTCCAAGCCCCTTACATGTGTCCGGGATGGTGTGTTGTAGGCGAGTTGGCGGGAGCAAAGCGAGAGGGTTGTCAAGAAACTGTCCTGTAGCTCTCCTAGACTGTCACAAGGGCGGAGTGGCGTTGCCAGAAGCCAGGTCAAGGGAATGGCACACGGGCTAGGTAGGTTAAGGGACGGCTGGGATATGTGATTGATGGGTGGCTGCCCAGGCCGGTAGATGCGCACGGGTGAGTGGGTAGGTGGCCTGAGAGGACGGATGCCGTTGATCGGGTATGTCGGTATCCAGGTGTGTGTTCCCCGAGAATGTGTTGTCGAAGGTGACATGCAAGGGGCCCTAGCTGGACGGGAGTTGTGTCTGCCACCGGCGTGGGCCGCGGTCAAGCGGGAGTCCTGTCGGCTGCCCGACTGGTTCACGTCTTGGCTGCGGTCGACAAGGTGGAGCGGTACCTGATCAGGTACCTGACGATGGATGCTAGGGCAGGGCTATGGGTTGCGGCAGCAGGGCGGCAAATAAGTATGCGATTCTGCGTGTATGGAGCCCGGAGAGGGAGGAGGGGCGTGTTATTTGCCTCGAAGCCGGGTGTGGCTATCTCGCTCCAATGTTAGAATCCCAAGCCCAAGACTGTGTTTAGAAATTCACGGTCCTGCCCCAGTGCCGCCGCCCCTCCCCCTCTCATGTGAACAAGCCGGTTCGGTTTGTTGTGGTGTGGGCATTGTATAGGTGTGTCTGTATGGATTCTTACCAAGGCATATCTTGGGACTGCTGCTGTCTCTCGAGCGGGGAGGCAGGGGCTCAGGTACTGCCGTCAGGTGATTTGTCTGGCAGCCCAAGCCAGCCAGCTAGCGGACATGTCCCCCAGCTGGCGCTGTGCTGGAACGGTACAAGCTGGCCTGCATTGAGCCTTTTATTCTCGCCCAAACGGCTGGGAGCTTTTGACGGTCTGGGGTGGAGCGAGTGCAGAGGAAGGCAAAGACAGCCGAGTAGCATCAGCATGTGAGCTAATGTCCGTCCCCCATCCACACGCTCGCTGGTGACAGTACAGGGACGGAGAGCAGGGAGGGTCAAGGGGAGGGAAGGTGCCTGCTCGTAGCGTAGGTTGCGGGTCCAGTTCTCGGGCAGATTCCCCTGCCCGCGTGGAAGGGGCAGGAGCAGGCTTGGTTGGTACCTTGAATGCGGGAGGTGTGTGCCTGGCTGCGCGGGTACACATGGTATCCAGGATCTGGGGACCAGATAGGTGGTAGGTACCGTAGATAGGTAGGTACCTACCATAGGTACCGAGGGGCCTGCGTGTCTCATCGAGGATACACAGGGCCTGGAATTATGTACTGCACGGCGTTCAAGCTCACTGTATTGTAGGCGATACGTATATTTGATGTGCCTGTAATTAGTACTGGCTCAAAAGAAACAAGTTGGCGGACCGAGAATGCCTGGCGCACCAATATTTGCTGCTTGCGTAAGGTTCCTCCCATTTTCTTTTTTCTGGAAGCGGCAGCTGGAGGGAGGCCTGGATGCTGGTGACCGGAGCTGGAAAATCGGGATGCTGCTGGCGTTTCCACGGCCTGCAGTGAACGGCCCGATCCCCCCAAAATGCAGGGCGCCCTGTCGCGTCCTCCAATCACGTCCCGCCGTTGGCTTGGCCTCCCTCTGGTAGCATGGGGAGGGCGGTGATGTGGAATCGGACTAGTCGGTGGAAATCTCGACGGGCTGCAGCTTCCCGACCGGTGAGCCAGGGAGACCAGAGAAGAGCCAGAGCATGGGCTGCTGGAGCCCTTGAGGGGAGGGGCGGCCGCTACTTCCTTTCTTTCCTTCTTGTCTGTTGCGCCTGCCCGGTGTGCCAGGCTGCCTGTGATGGCGTCTCACCGGTCCATGGGGTCGCTCTTGCACGGTTCCGCTTTGGGAGGCTCCGAGGCTTGGGCGTTCCACACCCACCCACCAAATTTTGCGTCGATTGAATCACCGGAGTCGCATCCCGTTCGCTCGGTCGGGCCAATCGAGCGAGGCTGGCTGGCTGGCCGGCCCTCTCCAACCCGAGGATACCCCGCCCCCAGCCGGCAGACACTGAAAGCCGGTGCAAGAAGTCAAGAGACGTCTTGGTAGCCAAGTTGGGGAGGTACAGGCACGCACCTGTAGGTTCTATTGCTCCGTAACGTGGAGCCAGGCTACTGGTTCGGGAAGTTTTTATGGCCATCATACATAGCAGCCATTCTCATATGCCTACCATATCCGCACCCATCGCTCCCGACGACACACACACACACACACACACACGCGCGCGCGCTGTTTACGGGCATCCTGCAGCGCAGGCGCTTCACCGGATCGTTGGAAACATCAATGCCCTGCAGGCAGTCGTGCCCCATGGTGCCTTTGGCCTTTGGCCACCCGCGTGTGACGGGGGTTCAATCCAGACGCTTGTCGCGCACCTGAGTGGGAGAAGGCGGTGAGAAGGTCGCGGCCGTTCTCCATTGCCGATTCCAGTTCTGCGCTCTTAGGGTTGTCTGCAGAAAGGAACTCCCCGTCATTGGCATGAGGTCGCGAGGCCCTTGTCCCTGCTGGAGACGACAGGCACTGGCGCCGTCATTTGAGTGCTCAGCACCGCCAACAGGCCTGCCCTTGCCTGTCACCAGCCACAAACGCACCGGATCAGCTTTCCGCCCCCTGTGTCCCGCTCGATCTGCCCATCCGTTTGCCCCACCGCTGGTGCTGTTTCTTATTTGACGGGAGCTTGGGCCAGGGCAGCGACAGTGCTCGAACACTCGATGGCCTCCCCCCGCCAAACAAAACAAGGCATCCGATCAAAGGACGGCAGAGGACCCTCACTTTGCCACCCTGCTTTCAGCACGGCACCCATTCCCAGCGGCCAATGTTGGCCGCTTCCAAGCCCTCAAAATTCATCTGCCGAAAACTGCATCCATCCTCCCCCGACCCTGCGCACGCTCGCCGCGTGCGGGGAGGCGCAATTCTAGTCCCAGCCGAGGATAGCGCCGCCAACGCACACGCGCATAACTATGTCGGGACAGCGGAAACTGGGCTTTTGACATTACGCCCCTCCCTTTCTGGCTTCCATACCTGCACGCCTACGCGGTTGGGCGGGGGCACCATACGGTGGCTGAAATCTGTAACGCAACAAGACAACCAAAAAAAGGTGTGGCCCCTCATTGCCGTCTCCCGGTTCGCGGGAAAGCGGTCGGGATGGGTCGAGCCAGCCTACCAGGAACAAGGCGCACACGAGCACCCAGTCATGGCACGAAATGAGAAACCCCCACATCTTTTAGCCGGCACACATGAGAAACACACCACGCCAGGGACCCAACATATACCTAACAGACATACATGATGTAGGTTACCTCGGCTGCCCAGCTTGGCTCGCCGGTGTCGTCAGCCTGCATCGAAAATCTAGAAGGGGGTTATAGGGGTGATCCAGACTCATATAACCCCCGATTGAGGGTGGAGGAGACCACTTGGACTGCTCGGGGGCATCTGGAGAGCCTGAATGGCCTGTGTGACTGCATGTTGCACCCTCGGGGTCGGCCAACCCTGCTTTCCCTTAAGCTCCCCTTCGTGTTAAGCTAGCCATCAAAGCCCATTTCCTCAGCGCCCCCTTTCCTACCCTTCGCTCCATCTCGCCAGCCACATACCCCTACCCCAGTCACACAAGGGTACCTACCTACTAGCTACCTAGGTACGCAACAGCCAATCTGGTGCTCCGATATCGCCCCTGGCATGCATGCTGATGCTGTCAGTCTACCACCCTACCTGCCTGATCATGAGGGCCTCGTGATCATGGGGCCGGCATGCATCTTTATCCTATAGGCCGTCTGGAATCTATCTCCTGCCGCTCCTCTCCCCTCATTTTCCTGCTATACACATCAAACAGGGCGATTCTATGCGCCGATGGAGCCATGTGCTTCCCTTTTTGAGAAAGCCGAGCGGTTTAGGGAACTCGGGCATGCCATCAGGAAATTCGTTTACGCACCCCGGGAATATTTCAGTGCCCAGATCCTTGTGCCTATGATCTGCTGCTCACCGGTGTAGTCTGGCACATGGGCGCGCGTACCTTCATGGAAGACCGGTGAGATGTCATGCCGCCAGTCCTCCGTTCCAAAGTTTACATCACCTCCGGGTACCGAAATGGAGCAACGAGGGCCATTGGCCGGCCGCTCGACAAATATGTACCGTCAGGAATGCCATATCCATCATCCCGCGTCCTATGCCCGTGCCCAACTGCTGGGCATGCGGCTGCCCGTCGTCCTCTCCCCATGCTGCGATACCACGCGTGAGAAGTCCCACCCAAGTTAGATCCCTTATTCTTCCGTTTTTCCTTCCTCGCCCCGCCCCGCATCCACTTTCCTATGGCTGTCCGGATGTCATGTGTCCATCTACGATCTCGCATAGGTTGCTTAACCGCTGCCGTTGGTAGCAGGGATTGACCTAGTATCTGCTGGGGCACCCCCACGCGCGAGCTTGACTATTTAAGTCCCACGCCCCCCCTCGCATGATCCTGGCTGGCGTGCACGCCGTCAGATATCGTGCGAGAACATGGGAAGACGGTGCGGCAACGCTCCATGAAACGTCACAAAGACAATAGTATGTGGGCGGGGTGGTAGCGAGATTTAGGCCCGAAAACCGAGCGGGAGGGTAAAAGTATTCAAGCCCTCTCGCCCGACCTTGGAGCCTTTCATTGTTCTTTGTTGTGGCCTGGTACCGCTCTATCCCACACACCAATATCCCCGCAACGTGGCAGGCGATCCGCAGTCCTTTCCACACTGGACGGCGAATAGGCGCGAAGCAGCTTCCCGTTGCATCCCGGCGATATGGTGAGCAAAGCACGCGCGAGGGAGGGGTCAGTTCCGACAAACCGATTCGGGAGGGACCGAGATATAGGCAAGGTTCTATGGATCCACCCAGAAATCACGCCTGGGGGCGAAGAGGGGCCGGCCTGCTGTTGGTCGAGTCGGATAAAAAAGGACGCATGCATGGAAATCCTCGATGCGCTTCTGACATCACACAGGGGTTGTTGCGAACTGCTTGTTAAAGTAGCGCCCAATCACCATCCTCCGGACCTCGCTGGTTCCCGCGCCGATCTCGTACAGCTTGGCACTGTCGTGGGCGAAAAGAGACAAGGATTAGCGTTGCAACGGAAGAGATGGGTCCGGGCCAGGAAAGGAAAGAGGCAAGGCGAATTGGGGGCGAAAGAGGCCAGGCACGCGCATGGAGAATGCAGGGCAGTAGATAAGGTAGCCGAGGCTTTGGGCCGCCCGGGCTACCTGGGGTGGTAGGGTATTCTGGGTGGCGGGGCCGTTGCTGTGCGCTGTGGCAGGGAAGGAGCAATGTATCGACGTAGACGGTGGGCGTGCTGGCTATGTCACGCTCGGCTAGAGCCATCGGAGGTGGATGCGGGAATTATGGACTAGTCGAGGGGAGAGAGAGTGAGGGGGGCGACAAGCGAAGAAAAGGGGAAAAAGGAGGGGTGGGATGATGGAGAGGTACTGGAAAACAAAGGGGGAAAAAATCGGACTCACTCCCTCAACAGCCGGCTCGCCGGCATCTCCTCGGTGTAGCCCATGCCGCCCAGGACCTGGATGCAGTCGAGGGCGACCTCGGTGGCGCGCTCGGCGGCGTACAGGATGGCGCCGGCGCAGTCCTGGGTGCGGATCTCGCCCGTCTCGTCGACGCGGCGGGCCGTTTCGTAGGTGTAGGCCCTGGACGCCTGGAGCTTGGTGTACATGTCGGCCAGTCGGCCCTGGACGAGCTGAAACTCGGCCACGGGGCGGCCGAACTGGGTCCGGGCGTGGGCGTAGGGCAGGGCCACGTCGAGGGCGGCCTGCATGATGCCCAGGGGCCCGGCCGACAGCACGAGACGCTCGAGGTCGAGCCCCTCCATGAGCACGCGGGCGCCGCCGCCGACGGAGCCCAGGACGTCGGCGTCGGGCACGAAGACGTCCTCGAGCACGAGCTCGCCCGTGTTGGACCCGCGCATGCCCATCTTGTCGAGCTTGCGCAGGCACGTCAGCCCCGGCTGGCGGCGCACGATGAAGGCCGTCATGCCGCGCGACGCGGGCACGGCGGCCGGGTCCGTCTTGGCGTAGACGACGACCACGTCGGCGTCGGGCCCGTTTGTGATCCACATCTTGCTGCCGTTGAGCAGCCAGCCGTCGCCGCGGGGCGAGCGGGCGGCGCGGGTGCGCATGCTGACGACGTCGCTTCCGGCGCCGCTCTCGCTCATGGCGAGGGCGCCGACCTGGGTCCCCGCCACCAGGCCCGGCATGAAGCGGGCCTTTTGGTCGGCGGTCCCGTTGAGCTGCAGCTGGTTGACGCACAGCTGCGAGTGGGCCGCGTAGCTGAGGGCGACCGAGGCCGAGGCGCGCGACAGCTCCTCCATGGCGACGCAGTGCGCCGCGTAGCCCATGGCGAGCCCGCCGACCGACTCCTCGGCCGAGATGCCGAGCAGGCCCATCTCGCCCAGCTTGGGCCACAGGCCGGCCGGGAAGGCGTTGTCGCGGTCGATCCGCGCCGCGAGCTCCTCGGGGATCTCGCGCCGGCAGAACTCGCGCACGCCCTCGCGGAGCTCGTCCAGCGCCGCCCGGTCCGGCGCCGTGAAGCCGGCTGGGTGCTTGCTCTTCTTGGGCGCCGCCGCCGCCGCCGCCGCCTTCTTGTCGTGGTCTAGGGGCGGCGGGGCGGCCGTGGTGCTGGTGGCGGTGGCGGTGCTGGTGCTGGTCGACTGGAGCCTCCTTTGCTGCGCGGGTCGCGGGGAGATGGGGGACCGCGGCCTCCAGCGGGCCGGGGGGAGGACGCTGCTGCTAGTACCGGTCGGGGACAGGGCGGCGGCGAGGGCGGGCGTGCGCGCGGCGCTGGTGCTTGGCCGCGCTAGCGCGGAGATGGCACGGATGGATGCCATCGTGTGTGGATGTGATGCGGGATTGAAAATGCACGCAGGTTCAAAAAGAGCGGTTGCTAGTTAAATGGACGTCTGCAAGCTCGAGGGATCGCGTCGATGAGGGTGTCGTGGGGAAGGAGGAGGCCAAATGAAAGCTGCCTCGGGAAAGACCTAGCAGTCCCTGTCGCTAGAATTGGGGCCTGACCCCAGCGAATTGGCGCGGCTTAGGACGGCTCGGAGCGGCTTCCCTCGGCCCAATCTGTTAGCCAGACGTCATTTGACCTCCCCCGCCTCGGCTCAGCAGCCCAAGCGGCGTTTCTAGAGCCAACGGGATTGGCGTCGCGTCTCGGCCACCCCTTAGGAGGGCCTGTCTTGCTACCTCACGATTGTTTCGATCTCCTGTCATCTTATATTCTCCCGAACGTTCTCCTAACTCTGCCATCGTCCACTTGCTACCCCGATCGCGCCACTTCTCGCCTTCTCCATCCCTCTCCTACCGCAGAGCCATGGCTTTTACGAGGCCATCGCGGGAGCTCCTGCAGCTCCCGCGCCAGCTGACCTGCCGGCCGAGGCCACCGTCGACCTCGCCCGTCTCGGCCGCCTCCTCGGTGCGGTCCGCACACCGTCTCGCTACCCAATCCGCCGCCCTCCCGCCCCGCCCGCAGCAAAGACGGCAACCACGGCACGGCGGCCACCTGCATCAGCTGCAGCAGCCGTCCCGCGCGGCGGCGACCTTCACACCCGGCTTCCAGGCCGGGGCCGTGTCGCGGCTCGAGACGGCCGTCGACTCGTCGTCGGCCGAGTTCCGCGACAACGAGGCGGCCATGCGCGCGGCCTCGGACCGCGTCGACCGCCTGACGCGGGCGGCGCAGCGCGGGGGCAGCGACAAGGCGCGGGAGAAGCACCTGGCGCGCGGCAAGATGCTGCCCCGCGATCGCGTCGCCGCGCTGATCGACCCGGGCACCTCGTTCCTCGAGCTGTCGCCCCTGGCCGGCCACGAGCTCTACGCCGACGCCGACGTGCCCGCGGGCGGCATCATCACGGGCGTGGGCCAAGTCGAGGGCGTGACGTGCGTGGTGGTTGCCAACGACAGCACCGTCAAGGGCGGCACATACTACCCCGTCACGGTCAAGAAGCACCTGCGCGCCCAGGAGGTGGCGGCCCAGAACGGGCTCCCCTGCATCTACCTCGTCGACTCGGGCGGCGCCAACCTGCCGCACCAGGCCGATGTGTTTCCGGACCGCGACCACTTCGGCCGCATCTTCTACAACCAGGCCCGCATGTCGGCCGACGGCGTCCCGCAGATCTCGGTCGTCATGGGCCCCTGCACCGCGGGGGGCGCCTACGTGCCCGCCATGAGCGACGAGAGCATCATCGTGCAGGACCAGGGCCACATCTTCCTGGCCGGGCCCCCGCTCGTCAAGGCCGCCACGGGCGAGGTCGTCAGCCCCGAGGACCTGGGCGGCGGCCGCATGCACACGTCGGTCTCGGGCGTCGCCGACTACCTGGCCGTCGACGACGCGCACGCCCTGGTGCTGGCGCGCCGCTGTGTCGCGAACCTCAACTGGCCCACGAGGTCTCGGCAGCAGCAGCAGCAGCAAGAGGAAGGCTTGCCGGCATACGAGGAGCCCCTGTACCCGGCCTCGGATCTCCTGGGCATCGCGTCGACGAACCTGCGCAAGCCCCTGCCCGTGCGTGAGGTGATCGCGCGCATCGTCGACGGCTCGGCCTTTGCCGAGTTCAAGCGCGACTACGGCGCCACGCTCGTCACGGGCTTCGCCTCCATCTACGGGCAGCGCGTCGGGGTCGTGGCCAACGACGGCATCCTGTTCGCGTCGTCGGCCGCAAAGGGCGCGCACTTTGTCGAGCTCTGCTGCCAGCGCGGCCTCCCGCTCGTCTTCCTCCAGAACATCTCGGGCTTCATGGTCGGGCGCGAGGCCGAGCGCGAGGGGATCGCCAAGCACGGCGCCAAGCTCGTCACGGCCGTGGCCTGCGCCGACGTGCCCAAGCTCACCGTCGTCGTCGGCGGGAGCTACGGGGCCGGCAACTACGGCATGTGCGGCAGGGCCTACTCGCCCCGCTTTCTGTGGATGTGGCCCGGCGCCCGCGTGGGTGTCATGGGCGCCGACCAGCTAGCCGCCGTTATGGAGACGGTCGGGCGGCCGGACCCGGAGCTCAGGGACCGCATCGAGCGCGAGAGCGATGCCGTGTTTTCCAGCGCGAGGCTGTGGGTAAGTTTGAGTTTGTCTTTCAGTCAATCGTCATCTTTGCTTCCTCTGCCGCGACTCTAACCAACTTGACCGAACTGCAGGACGATGGAGTCATCCCCCCAGAACACACGCGCCGCTACCTCGGCTTGGGCCTGAGGGCCGCCCTCTCCGGCCGCAACCATGTCAAGCCAGGGGCTACCAAGTTTGGGGTTTTTAGAATGTGATACAACGTCATGGAGAGTTTTTTTCTTTCTTTTTTTTCGGTCTGGTTGCTTGCCCTCTCATGCATGCCCGGAGGCCCGGAGACATCACATCGGCAAACCTCGGACTACTGGGGTGCAAAATGATACTCTCACCCTCGCGACGGTCTTTCCGCACCTAAAAGCTTGTATGAGGAGACGAGACCATGTAACTCCCACTCCTTGTATCACGTATCCAGTGGCCACGCGGGAACTGAGGCCACTTATCCAGCGAGAATTCGGTAGACAGGGCGAAGCTCGAATTTAAAAGCTGCCGCGCCGGGTGATAGGGGGTTTGCTATGTCGTCTTCAGAGTCCCTGCTGGGCCTAGCCCTTGAGTACCTACCTGTCAGACCAGACTATTGTTGGAGTGCAAGCCTTATCCATACATGGGCAATCAGAAGGGCAAGCGAAAAGACGAACAGAGCGAGGCATGGATGAACCAAGCAATGCGGATGTGATGGACCAGATCCTGTGGGTCACTTGTAGAAGAACGTAGAACGGCAATGCCACCCTGTGTGACACGGCGCGCACTTCGGTTTGTCTTTGTAGCCAGCAAGCCTTCCTATCCTACTTCCGAAGCTCAAGTCGTGAAGCTTCTCGAATGTCTGGCTCTGCGTCCTCTCTCCGGGGTCGGGGGCCTGGCAATGAGTTGTATAAAAAAGGGCCGGTCTGTCTACGCCCTGTCGCGTATTGTCCGTTCCAAAGCACCAACCTCAAATTCATGGCAAATCTAGCCACAATGATCAGCATTCCTTCCACGACACTGCGCACCCTCCTCACGGAGAAGCCAGGAGTAAGCACCACTCCTAGGTTCTACCACCCTGACTCCAGCGACGGATTGCCCGAGGTCAGAGTCAGGCTCTGGAGCTGCTTCAGCGCAGTCGAGCTGAATAATGAATTTGGCGAGATCTTGGACGCCACCATCAAGCACAATGAGCTGCCCAGAGAATTGCCGTCCATGAGCGACATCCTCCCCGGCTCGCACAAGGTCAAGAACTGTCAGGACGTCTTCCCACTCGTCCAGTGGATCTGCCGCCCGATGGCGGCGATGCTTCCGTCCACGATCAAGCAACCGAAGCTCCAGCCCGGCCTCAAGCTGAGACACACTTCAGTGAAGCCATCGCGCTCCGGCTCCGGGGAAACGGCCGCAGAGGCGTCTCTCACCGAGTACACCCGCCCCTTCAGGATTCCCGGGGTTGGCCCGAAATCGCCCACGATCTGCCATCTTGTCGAGCTAGACAGCGAGTTTACAGCAAACCTGGTCATTGGCATCAGTGCGCCTTCCACAAGCTGCTTCCCCCGCAATCTTCTGGATAAGGGCAGGGATGGCAACATCATCAACTTGAAGGGGAACGATCAGTTGCTACGCCGGCTTGCCCGTGGATGCCACATGGCCGACACACACTACGGCTACATCTTGACCGATCAGCACATCATGGTCTGTCGCTTCTCCAAGGCAGATGACGCCAACCCCGCCGCCGCCAACGGCGACGCCAACCCCGCCGCCAACCCCGCTGGCGCCGTCAATGACGCCGCTGACAACAATGCCGGCGCCGCTGACAACGCCGGCGCCGCCGCCAACGCCGCTGCCGCCAACGCCTTGGTGTATAACGTCCAAGTCAGGGCCATCCCCTGGACGCAGTACGGCAGTGTTCTCACTGCAGAGTTGGGGATTTGGTGGTTGGTCGTCAAGGCCCTAAAGGACCTGGGTATTTCAGGGGCCGCGATGGTCGACGGCCGCCCATCCGGGGCATCGTCAAAGCGCTAGGCCAGGAGGCCAACGAGAGCACCATGACGAGTAAGGACTTCAAAAAGCTGCGGCAGAACATCTGTCGCCTCCATCGCCTCGGCATCATGACCCTCGACCTCCAGGTGGGGTTCAACCAAATCTTTGACAAGATGCAGATGGGCGACTTCAGCTGGGCCGTCACCGTGCCGCACCCCGTCACCAGCCAGGAACTGAACCCGGCCCTCACGGCCAATATGAAGCGCCTCATGGAGATCGAGACCTTCGGGCGGGTCAGCGGCGACCTCTTTGAGTTCGACGACATGGTGCAGCATCGGAACGAGACCTACGGTGACCAGGATGGCGTCATCACCGTGCGCGCCTTCCCCGAGGGCAACCGCTGCTCGCGGATCCAGCGGCTCAGGAGCAAGAGGCTCGTGGTCCACACCTCCTACGACCCGAGGAAATACGCCTGGCGCATCAAGCGCCGTGGGGAGAAGCCGCGGACCCTGGCCGGCATGTCCGACACCTGGCGTCTCGACTGCCTCGGGGACGAGAAACTGGCCGCGAGGCTGAGCGAGTGTACCGCCCTTAACGATAAGCTGAGTTGGAGGTTCGAGAACGGCCGCTTGTTCCCATACTAGAGCCGCGATCGCGCGAGGCACACGCTCCCGCGGGGCTACGTCGATGGCTATACATGTCTCCATTCGCTCACTCTCGAGCCATGTCATATGTCAAGAAAAATTCAGAACAGTGTTTCATTCTCTCACCCCTATCCGCTCCGTTGACTGCTCCTACCGTGATATGAGGGCTGTGAGGTTGCGTTCCTACTTTTACTCCCGCCAACACCGTGACTCGAGCTCCACGCCGGCGTCTTCACAGGTGCGCTTCGGCCCGGCGGTCACTCAGGCACGGCAATCCTCTTCCGGATTTTCCAATTCGTCCCCGGGTATCTCCTCGTGGCCGTTGCGCAGGAAGGAGATCCCGGGGAATTTGAGGCGCATCTTGTCTTCGTGGGCCTGGTCGAGCAGCAGGTAACCGTGGCATTTGATGGCGAGGTCTTCGTGGCCGGCCTCTTGGAGGCGCCCGAACGCGCGCAATTCACTATTGAAGGGCTCCCAGAAGTCGTAGTACACTCTCATGATGTCTCGGTCGAGCAGCTGGTGTTCGTCCCACGGGGTGGTCCAGTCGGTGTAATCGAGAAACCGGAACTGATCAGGGTCAGCGCCCTCCTCTACCTTTACCCCCCTGCCCGCATCGGCAGTGCCATCGCCGTTGTCGCACTTACCAGCTTGAGGGTGTAAATCTGGTTGTCGATCCTGACCCTGGAGACGTGCCCGTGCAAGCCCTCGCCGAGCTCCTGGAGGGACTCGATGTTCTGCGCGCCGCCAAAGTCGAACGCACTAACCTTGGGGCCGTCGAACCGCGGCAGCGGCACCAGGTCGGCGTCGGAGCGCGGCCAGTCGGGGTACATGGCGGGTACGGCCGAGCGGCGCCTATGAAGCTATTGTCTGTGAAGCTGTTGTCTGTGAAGTTGGTGCTGTCGGCAAGAGCTCTGATTTTATACGCGCCATCCTGATGTTTGGTGTCTTGCCGTTTTACTTGCCCGCATGCCGTTTGCGTCCGGTACGGCACGGGAGCGGGAACAAAGCCAGCCAGGAATGTAGACGGAACCGGTAGTTGCGGGTTTCTTTGGCGACAAAATCCATCCGTTGAAAGCGCATGGCGGGCCTGGAAGCACGACTGGGAGAGTGGAAGGCTTGTTTGTCAAACGATGTATATCAAAAAATGCATGTCAAAAGACGCATATCAACAGATGTGTACCTAAAGGCTTCGTAGGAAACGCATCATGTGGCTGACGGTGACCCACCACCCTGGCGAGGCGGTTTTGGCCAGGGTTGAAACCCCGACCGCCGCCGCGTGGGAACGGCAAGGGCAGCTACTGAAAATCCGGTTGCGGTTGCGTTCGGCCCGCCGGACTGGTCGTCCATGGGGAGGGCCAGGGCAACGCGGTTCCACGAGCCACTCGCCGGATGATCTACACGCTAGCCGTTACCGGCACGTCGCATGCTTCTAGATCGACCGTCTTTGTTCATCCGATGATATCGGTGACCCGGACTCATGGCTGGCCTAGCCGTCTTGGTTGGCGGCGCCTGCGAGGTTCCAGCTGCCCCACCCTATTAGGAGCAACCCATTCGGGCAGGCTTTGTAAAGAAAGACTCGTTCCATGGCTGGAAATTTTGGCCTGCGCGACGAGAAAGTCGGGAGTTGAGGTCTCGTCATTGAGCGCGTCGCGGTTATGCGCAGCCTCTTTGTGCGTGTACCCGTTTCCGGAGTAACGTCGCTCGCCCGCCTCTTTTTTCTTTCTTTCTTCTTCGCGAGTCATTTCGATTGTCAGGTGAGCTGCGTCTTCCCAGCATCTACCGCCCATCGGAAGATGAAAATTGTTACGGGACGCATCTTGACTGGGCTTGGGGCGTGCGGAAAAAGGGCAGGCGGAAAGCCAGAGATGGGAAACACAATCACGCTTTGCAGTCATCATCCTGCGACATTGGTGGCGCATACTCTCATCGTATCCCTGAGCCCTGAACAAGGTAGGGAAGCGTTGGGCGCGGCCTTGCGAGGGGCATCAAGTGCCAATAATAGTATAGACCTGATCGCCCTGGTTTCCCGCATTGTCCCAGCCGTGAATGGGGTTGGTAGATGGGATGGGAGAAAAGTAATACTGCCGAGACTATCCTAATAAACAAGGGCAGAAAGGGATATCAGGGCGCTTCTTCTCCCGGCATGGCTCGTGCACTTTGGCCGCCAAGAGAGAGCATGTCCATCGGGCAAGTATCCAAATGGCAAGAGGAGCAAGAGAAGGATGGCCGGATTTCCGAAGCAACGGCTTTGCGAGAAGGAGTAGGAGCTTGTGTGAAGAGAGAACAGGGGAGGAAACAGAATGAAAAAGTTAATGCGCAGTAAAGGAAGCCAGAATGGGCCAGATAGCGAGACTCACTAATTGCATCTCAAACTTTTCCCAAAAAAACGTGAGCCACCAACAGTAATAACCATGGTATACCCATCGCTGTAATCGGCATTGCTGCCGTCCATTCCCAGTACCTCGACAAGCCCGGCCACGCATCACCGGCCCGCCCGGTCGTTCTCTTGGTTGAGGAGGAAAGAGAGATGTCCCGCGGAGCCGCCGGGTCTCCCCAGGCTCTTTTTGCTTCGCCTGGCCACGCTGGCAGGAGGGCGGCCGAGCGTCGCCGGCTCGCCGTCGGCGGGGCTGCGGAAAGCTGCTCCGGGGCCGCCATCGCCCGGGGGAGGCGGCCCCGCACGATGCCAGCCGGCCGTCGTCGCCGTCGCCGTCGAATCCATATCGGCTTTCGTTTGAGTCGCGCCCCCGCCCGGCCCGGACCGGCCTCCTCCCGTGAGCGACGACGCGGCGTGATGGGGCGTGGCGGCGGCGGCGCCGCTCCCGAGCACCTCGCCCATGTGAGGAGTTCT